GGCCATTCCCACTCTCCAGCGAGAGCCCTTCAGTTCCAGCCTCCATGGAACCAGAAGGCCAGCCCACCTCCACCAGGCACCCACTGCAGTACCAAGAACTGTGGGCTCACTTTGTACAGCTGAAGGAATTTGTGTTGGAAATGAAGGGGTGGAAGGGAGGAAGTTAAATAAATAGGAAAACTTCAGTTTAGAGAAAAAGTTGGTTTTAAACTACCACTGTCAATTAAAAATGTTCTAGTAATTAAAGATAAAAAAAAAATCTATAGGTATTAGAACAATTTTCTTCTTTATTCCTCAGGAACCGTTCACAGCCTGAACAAACTAACAGCATTTCACCTTCATCCCCAAATAGTTTGAATTATGATTACTCAAGATGTGTCTATGAACACATTTTTGTTTGCAGTTTTGTTCTACGATGATGCAAATACCCTGTTGATTAATCCAGGAAGCTGGACACAGCTTCAGGAAGACATACTCGACATTTTTCTCACAGGCCAGGTTATTTAGGATCTCTAGCTCTGCCCCATAATGGCATCACACGATTTTAATGTCAACTTAATTATATTTGCAAAATCCCAGATCCCACATCACATTATACTGTCTTTCAGAGATGCCTTCTTGCTCTCTTTCACGCTATGGTTTTACACTAAAAGGAAAATTACCGTCATTAGGTGATCTAAGTGTATATTCCAAATGTTTCAAAATGCTTGTGTGAATCACTAAAAAACACTATCAGGTAGATCAAAGCATCTGCAGAAAAGCTATCATTCTACATTAAATTATGTTGGATTGGTTCCAAAACTGTGAGTAATCTTTATGAAATGGATTGGTACTTTAATGTCTGCTAATCAAGTATGAACCTAATATTCCCATCTGTTGTCAGAATTTGCTGGCTTCTTGGCTGTGTCGGTGTCTCAATCCTGAAAGGATTTCCATGCTGTGAGCTATTTTCATCACTAAAAATTACTTCTCCTGTTCTAAACTGAAATAATATTGTGTTTGCCCCACTGCCTAGATTCAGTGTTGCAGATACACAGGATAGTCATAAGTTTGACATCTTTCAGACCACGAATTCTACACTTAAAATGAGCAAAACAAAAATAAAGCCCCTCCCTCTTTTTCTCATACGTTTCCAATGCAAATCTGTATTTCAAATAGGAAGTGCCACACTTGGCTCCACACCTTACCCTGTGGCCAGGAAATACTTGATGGTCCTCCACACAGCTCAACTGCTGCTGTTGTACAAGATGTGGACGCACCCGAGAACTTGAGGCTGCTAAAGGGATCCCAGCAGACCTCTTTGGGGACCACAAATTGCAGTTTCATTGTGAGGCATTAGGAGTAAACTCTTATCAGGATCTTGGTTAACTAGAATTACTTCCTTAAAGTTAACAGTGCAGTGATTAATTCTTACAGCATCTGAAAGATCTATTTGGGGTATATGAGGGTTGCACTGAAATATTTTAAGCTTATTTTGATGTACGTGATGGCTTCATTGAAGTCAGTTGAGGATCAAGGTCTGCAAATTCCAATAAATATATTTTTTCATGCAGAAGGAGACTACAAAGGAAAGACCAAGGGGAGGATTAACAGTAAATGTTGCATATCACAGAATTAATAGGTGGGTGGTTGTCTTTGAACTTATTGTGAGAAAATACATTTTATATCAACAGCCATCAATGACATAGAAAGACACAAATAAAAATACCCAGTAATCATTGCCTACTGAAAACAGTTGTTTTCAAACATCTGCTCTCTCACTGAACTACTTTACAACACTGTTTTGACATAAATATCTCTGTAACATCTTTTATCACATAGGCTTCTTTTAATAGTATTCTGAAAGATATTTTAGGTACTTAGTGCAATTAGTAAACCTACTTGAGCCTTATTTGTACGCTCTATTTCCTTTAGCCAGCAGTGGCAAGTCCAAACAACATTGATGGTAGCTGCTATGAAGTAAATAGTGTAAACACAAGGTGAAGCCTTAGCTGAATTCTACACTGAATCCTTACAACACCACCACAAAAAAGTGATCAGTTGCTGTGCAAAGAAGCAAGCACAATGTAAAAAAAAATAGTAGTTTACTGTTTTAAATTTCTCCCATACACCCTAAAGACAAGTCCTAGATTTTCAATAATGTATGACATGACTGTTTCACTTTTTTGCTCTACAGGAAGCGAGATTGGTCTGGCCAGAAATAACATTAGCTGAGTTTTCAGTGACTAACAAATTAGTTTATAATAATCTTGTAGATCATGAAGAATGAGCATCAGGCTGGATTAGGTAGGACTTGTTTGACCTGCTCAGTTAGAAGTGGACTCTGACACTTTCAATCTGATTCCAGTCTGCAGTCTGAAGCAAAAGGCTCATCCAGTAAACGATGAGCCCTATGTCTGTCTACCTACTTAAATTAAGTTTCAGGATATATTTTTCCAACTAAGCAAGTTCCAACTAAATAACAGTTAACCTCAAATCAAGAGTTCATTACTGCGTATTCCACTTGCATTCCTAACTTTGACCTTGGAACACCGTCTAAGATAGTGAGCAGTAGTAATTCAGTCTCCCAACTACCTCATTCTAAGAGAATCTCTCCTGAGAGCAGGCTGCTAAAGGCAGTTTTGTATTTGACCCAGTACTAGAACAACAAGCTCCATTTCAGTTTGAGTTACAGTTTGGGTTTGGTCCAGAACTGCAGATGGCATCAAATGCAGCCTCCTTCTTGTAAAATCACACATCAGCAGCATCTCTACCTTGGGGAAGATGGCATTTTCAAAAGTGCTTATCACTGATCTTCCTCTCCTTCTTCCTTTATATTTCATAAAGGAAGAAACAGAGGGGAGAGGAGGGAAGAAACAACATCCAAATGTTTCTCATAATTGAAAAATTTAAAAAGAGAAAGAGGATACCCGAATTGGCGTTAATCCTATTGGTGGTGCTCAAACAGGTAACCTTTTCAGGTCTCAGAGTTTCTTTCAGCATAACAAATATTTGGGAATGAAACTTTATCATTTCTGAAGTTAATAGCGGGGCTTTTAACTGTGACAGCATTCTACCAATGTGTACCAACTCACAGTAATGTGCCTGAAAGACTCAACTTGTTTTAAGATTACATCGTAATCCTGTATTCGAAACAACTGCATTATCTGCAATGAATAAATTACTGTTTCTCTCCTGGGTTTTTTATGTAGCCTTATGGCTACCTCAAAATGTATTATACAAAATAATTCACAGAAGCATTGTTGTGAATAATGGTCTCCAAGTTCAATAACAGTATTTTTTATTCAAAATCCAGAACACATTAGCAACTTCTGATTGGATTTACAGATTATATAATAATGTTTCTTTCCTGTGACTGGTAAATGGAAGAGGACAGCTAACTAATACCTGGTGCTCAATCAAAGCATCATTTATCTCACTAAGGTATTTTCCTAATTCTGTTTAGTTAAAGTGACAGGAATCTTCATGGGGCTATGTTTTAGCTGACTTATATCTGATTTATACTGAATTGGCTTAATTTGGTTAGCTACTATAAATATGGATAAGGCCTGAGACTCAGTAATAGATATTTGTGCATGACTGCAATCCCATAATACCAAAGACTTCACACAGTCAAATTTGATTTTGACTGCAAGAGTAGGCGAAAAAAGATCAGGCCCCAGATCACAATACCTCATGTTTTATATATATATGTATGCATATATATATACATATATTTGGTTATACAAACATATATACTTCTGTGAATATCCCTACATTCCCCTGCCATGTGAAATCAAAGATAGAAAATGGAAAATGCCTTCACCTAAGACAGTACAAATTTGATGGCTTGGACATGATTCAACGAATTTTCTTGCAAAGATCACTAAGCTATATCATGATCTACCCCACATAATGGTGTGTTCTTTGCACATACAGCTCTATCTGTACAGCAGAGGTTATCAGCAGTCAAGTTGGATGCCTATAAAGGGAGATGTCTCAAGAGGACAGGTCATAGCAGGAAGAATTAGTGGGGTTCTGATCTGTCTCAGGTAGAGGAACAGGAACTGCGAATAGGTGAGATCAGATGGAAGTCTCTCTGCTACCCTTCCACTCTCTCTTCACAAACTGACCCAGCAGGGGAGAGACCCTCTCCCCCACCTTCCCCATCAGGGACAAAGCTGCTGCCGACACAGCCCGATCCCGTCCCTTGTAAGCACACTTAGGTCTTCAAGCAAAGTACCAGTAAGGGCGATGGTGACTGGCAGGCTGATGGTGCAGTCCTCCTTATCCACTCAACAAACACCCCGCTCCCGCTTCCCGATTTTCCCTGCAGATTTCCTCTCCTGATATAACAGACCCTTCAGCCTGCCCGGATCGACTGTTAGCTCTCGGATCCACGCAATGGGTGTCATCTCCTGGCACCACTACATCCTTCTGCCGTGAGATGCCTTCAGCACAGAGGCATTCACCAAGCCCGGCTGGTCCCAAACGTGGTAAAAGAGGAAAAAAGTGCCAGAAATCCATAAACTATGGTTTATGAAATTGTCTTGCAAGGCCCGGCATCTCCCAACGGCACCACCCAACGGCAGGCAAGGGCCCGCCGCGGCGGCCGGTGGGCTCTGGGCACGGCTACTGCATTCCGAAGGGCAGAGCGCACGGAGCGGGCTTCCCGCGGCGCGCCCCGGTGGCTGAGGAACCCCACGCTCCAGGAACCTCGCCTCAGCCGCTAACGGCCGCCGGGCGCGGCGCCAACGGCCCTGCACCTCAGCGCGCCGCGCCTCGCCGCCTCGGCCCGCTCCGTCCGCGGCGGGGGAAGGCGGCGAGGAAAGGAGAGAGAATTTCTGTGCCGGTGGAACTGCCCGCCGCCGCAGCGCCAGCTCCCGCTTTCACCCTCCCTCCTACCCACCCTCCCTCTTTCCCTTCCCTTCCCTTCAGCGGCGCCGGGCCCCGCGGCTGCCTCCCGGCGCGGAGCGGCGCGGGCGCGAGGTGCGTTACCTGGAGCTCGGTGGCAGCCTTACCTGTGCGCGCCTCTTCCAATGGCAGCGCACCTGCCGGGCCGCGCCGCCCAATCAGCTGGCGGCTCGTCCCTCTGCCCCGCGCCTTTAGTGAAAGAATCCAGCGCCGCTCGGAAAGTTACCTGTGCGCGCCCGGCCCGGCCGCTCTCTGCCCGGAGAGCCCCACATGCGAGGGGGAGGGGGCTCTACCTGTCCTACCTCGGCGGCTGGCTGCGGAGCCGGGAGAGGGGGGGAAGGAAAGCAGAATTACCAGTAGCTCTGGTTCTGCCGTCCCGGGCGTTCACACACACACCTTCACCTGCACAGACCTGAAAGTCCAGTTCCGCCAGGGAGACGGAGGCACCGGGAAAAGGGGAGAGAGTTCATTGGATCAAACATGTCACAAGAGACGGACAAGTAAGTGATCGCAGGCACGCCGCTGCTCCCGCTGCGCGGGGCTGGCCGGCCCGTCGGGCTGGTCGGGTTTCCCTCTTGCCGGTGGCGGACGCGAGCCTGCCGGGACTGCGCTTCTCCCTCTGGAAAGCGAAGCCGGACCGGGCGGCACAGCAACTCTCAGAGCGCCCGAGGACAAGCTGAGGCTCGCCGCCCCCCACCTCGCTTTCCATCTGGCTCTGGGGCTTCTCGATGTTATTATTTTTAGCTCCCCTTTGATATGTTTGGGGGTTTTGTTTTGTTTTTTCTTTTATTTTTTAGGTTTTTTTTTTTTTCCCTCCCCTCACCTCGAGGGTCACTTTTCGGGAAGGAGCAGTCCTCTCCTCGCCCGAGAAGAGCGGAGCAGCCTCCGCTCGCCGAAGGCCCTGGACTTAAAACTGCTTCTTGGCTTTTGTGTTAGCGCAACAAAGGGCTTTTATCCTGGGCCGGGCACGGCCATCTTCCTACCCTCGGTCAGTGCCTGCCGGGCAAGGCAGGGCCGGGGGCCTGTGGAGGCCTGGGTCTCTCCCGCCACCAGCGGCATGAAGTGCTCCGGCCCTGCCCGGGCGCTCGGCGGCTTCGGCTGCCCCAGACGCTGCATGCGGCGCCTTCAGCCTCGGCGTCCTGACCTTGTTTTCCCGGCGGGCCCGCGGCTGCCCGGAGACCGGCGCCTCCGCCCGAGGTTAAAAAGTAACTTTCGCAGTAGCGTCGCCGGAGGAGAAAGAAGAGGAGGTGGAAGCCGCTGGGCCCGCGCCCGCCGCAGCCCTTCTCCCGCCCCGGCGGGGCACGGCGGCGGGGGCCGCAGGCCGCGGCGGACGGGCCCGGGTGCAGCGAGGCGTGCGGAGCTGCGTGCCCCGAGGCCGGCGAGGCCAAGGGCAGAGCGGCCATGAAGTGGGAAGGCCCCCGTGCCTGCTGGGGTACATGGGTTGTGGTGCCAGGTTCCCCCAGGGCACGCAGCGGGACTGAGACGGAGCCAGCGGTGGGCTCGGCGGGAGCGGGGCCTGTCCCGGGTGGGTGTTCAGTTCCACCAACGCTTCGTGCCGATCGGTCACAAACCAGGGGCTGTTTGTATTTACCTCTTCCCCCCCCTGCCCCTTTGCGCCGCGGGGTAAAGGCGATGCCTGTTCCTCGGTGGCGACGAGGCGGCTGGGCGTGAGGGCCGCGGCCTGGCTGGGAGCGCGGCGGCGGCGCCTGGAGCTGTGCGGCGCCGGGGAGCCGCCGTGAGGCAGCCAGGCGGGAAGGCCATTTTACCTGCTCAGGTTATTAGTGCTTCTGCGGGAGGCGGGTGGGGAGAGTAACGGGGCGAGGAAGATGGAGGGCAGGAAATGGCAGTTTTGTGTTACTGCTGCTACGGTGCAGGTAGGAGCCCAAGTCGTGAGTGTAATCTCGGCTACCCTTGGTGCTGCTCGGATACAAGCTCTTGTTGGGCTCCCCAGGAACCTTTGTGGCAAAGGAGGTAGAGAGGAGGAGCCTGATGTTGGAGACGTCGACTGAGAGAGGCTTGGTGATAGCCTGTCAAGGAATGAAAGAAAGATTATCCGACAAAAGAAAACAGCAGGGTTGGCTGCCCTGATAGGGAAGAGACAGGACGGTTCAGATGAGAAAGATTTAAAAAATAATTGTATTCCTGGCCTTTTTCACACAAGTTGACAGTGGGATAGTGCAAAAAGGTAGTCATGAAATGAAATTAAACTACTTGTGATAGGAGTTGGGAACAAAGTGGAGTTTGGGAGTTCGGTCTGAGCTGGGATGAGAATTTACGCCTTAGGTGGCCAGATAAAACCAGTAAATATTTTAAGTGGAGGGCAGGGAATAAGGACAGAGCCCTGAGGGGTGCTGGTGGGGCTGAGAGGAGCAGCTGAAGGAGCAGTTACTGAGTAGGGAGGGGAACCAGATGAACTGCGGAGGAGCTGAGAACTGACAAGAAGCAGTGATGTAGGGCACCCCAAACCAACTGTCGATTCCAGAACTGCACAAAGGTGGAAAGGGGCGGTAAGTTACTCTCTGGACTAGCCTGGTTGTCAGTTTCAGCAAATGGAAACTAAGCTGCAACAGATCAAATGCAAGTGCTTAAACTTCCTCTCCTGTCACTGCCGGAGAGGAATATGGGCATGGAATATGGGGGAGAACAACTTTGTATCACATCTTTGAAACAGAACAACAGCACAGTGGAAACCCAACTCATACAAAAAACTAGGACAAAAGTGGTTCACTTCTGGGTCTAGGACGCTACTAAGCTACAGGACTATGCTTCCTTCCCAACAGGAGCAGTATGGCATAGGTGTAAGCTACTGAGACTGGAGCATTAATGCCCTTCATCCCCTGCTCTGTGTAGTGCTGCTGCAGTTACCACTGTGAGCATGTACCCTGAAGTAACAGCTCTTCCCCTGTTGCAGGTATGCCTGTGATCTGTTTCTGATTAAGGTGTTTAGAAAATTCATAGGTGGTAGGTAAGAGTTTGAAAAGGAAATAGAAGAAATCCCCTGGGCTCTCTGTACACAAGTGTAATATGAGAAGACAAATACATTTGTTTTCAGAAAAGATGACCAGGTGGAATGAGATATTAGACTGGTGGGGGGAGTTTGCATGGGAAGGTGTTTTTTTTGTTGTTGTTGTTGTTTTGGGTTTGGGGTTTTTTTAGGCTTTAATTATATCCAGTTAAAACCTAGTCCAGAGAGCACAACATTCTTTTCCTCCACATGGCCTTTCTTTTACTTCAAAACAGCTCTTCCCTACAGGTAGGACTGGAGAGGGAAGCTTATTATTTCGAGGTCAGTTAATTTATCAGTGTCATTGTGTTAGAAAAGAGTGGTTATGTGTCAGTTCCTACGCTAACAATTGGACACATTTTGTAGGGTTTGTGCTAGTGAAGTGTTGATGTAGAGGAGTAAGCAGCTGAGGGGATATAGCAAGTACGAAAAGTATGTTCCTGTCTCATCCTTCAGTGGGATTTGCTGGGTTTTCTGGAGAGGTGATACATGTCATTGCACAACAGCTCCAGGGGCTGCCTGCAGTGTCCCTCTTCGGAGCAGGGACAGAGTGCTGTAGTACCACCTGCACCAGCTTTAAGAAAAGAAGGTGGACCCTTGGGTGAAAATGCTAAAGCCGTTTGATTCTAATGCTAACTGAGGAGCTTGGAAGGGGAGATTATTCTTAAGAGCAGTGTGGGTTATCTCCCTGTCCTTCCCTTTAGTCTTTCTGCCTTAGCTGGGTCTTGCCTGCTTGCTTCCACAAACTGCTATCAGTCAGAAGAGATAAGGCATGATTTCACATGCATTTTTCAGAGGTCGTACCGACTTAAGCAGGCTGTGGCCACTTGTCCCTGCCTCCATTCCACCCTCTCAGCTGTGTCAGTAGAACTGTTTGTGCAGCTAGAGAACTGGCTCAGGGGCGTGTTGGGTTGAGAGTAGCCTGATCTCCTCTTAGAGGTTATTTTTAACATCTGTTTTTCATTGGTCTGGGTGCTTCATATGCAGGTACGGTACAAGCAAATGACAGGTGTTAAAGACGGAACTGCTCAAACTAGAACTTCTGAAGAAGGAAGTATGTGTCCTTGCCTTTCTGTGTATGTTTTGGAGATCCATGCAGCTGCTTCTGTTACTGTTCAGTTCTCAGGGCAATCACAAGGGGGCACAGGGTGGGAAGAGGGAGCATCCCCTTAACAGGATGTAAAGATGATTCCAGGGTTCACGTCTGCATTTATAGGCTGAAAAGCTTTTCATACTGTGGTAAGCAGGAAAAAATTATCACTGCAGAACTCCAGAGTAATGGCTCTAGTGCATTAGTGAAGCTAATTAGTGACCTCAATACTTGTGAGACTTAACAGGGTTCTAGACATTGTCAGTACTTCTGTGAATGAGGAGCAGCAATTGTACAACCACTTGGGATCTGCCTGGTAAGTGCTACAGCTATGCCTCTGCTGCTCCTGATGTTGTGTAAAGTCAGGAGTCCCATGTAGGCTGGGACTGCAGTTGTATGAAGAGCAGGCTTGGTAGCAGGGCTGACAATGCTGGTTGCTGTGCCTCTTGCTAGCTGGCCAGCCACATGACTGCGCTGTCAGTCAGGCTTCCAACACCCCCAGTACATGGAAGAGCTACTCAGGACACCAAGTAGATGCGGCTGGGGCATGCTTAGACTGACCACATTAAGGAGGACTTGGGGCAACCTGGGTCTGCAGCTGAGCATGTGCTTGTGGGTAAATGACCCAGAAGAGCTTGGAGGTGGGAATGGGTTCAGACCTGCTCCCGTATGTCAGTGGGGGCATGTTCACATCAGTTTCCTGGTTGGTAGTGTCTGTGGCAGAACGTGATCTTGGACTTTTTACAGGGTAATTTTGCCTTGGTTTTTCTTCCTCAGTGTGTAAATGAAGGTGCTGCCTTCATAATATTTAGGTTAAGCATCTAGTACTATAACAATTATATCTTATGGTTTACTGGGTGATTCTATGAATTGTTCTTAATTTTTTCATTGAGGGCCAAATACATTTCCTATCAGCAGATGTTGAGTAGCAATTAGGTCACAGACTGCTTTATTGCTCAGTGTGTCCACTAAGATGAATTTTCCAGCCTCTTACTCATCTGCAAATAAATGGAGAACGGGAATTGGAGGTGTTTGGTGCTTGTGCTTTTCAGGTGGCAGACATGCTGTCACAGATGTTCCCCACAAAACCATCCTTTGCAAAGTAGGTGGAAAATCAAGTGTGAAGAACCTTACAGAATCTGCAACCATATAAGTTTAACTGAGAGGAGTCAGGGTATCAAATGATTATGTTTTGCTGCTAACACTGCTGTCTCTCTGGTGCCGAAGTCTGAGGCTGGGCTGAAGATCAAAGCAGAGCAGGAAGGAGGGGGTTTTCCCAGGTCACTTAACTTGATTGTAATGCTCGCATAACCTCTTCGCTGTGGAAGGGTCAGGCGGGACATCGTTTTTGTCTGGCAGGGACATCTGAAGGGGAAATGATATTACACCGGTTGACATTTGTTGTCAGATATTTTCACAAATATTAATCCAGTGCAGACCATTGATGGTTACCTTAAATATTTGTTTCCCCATGATTATGGAGCAGCCAATGAAGCTACCCTTTTTTGTATGTGCAGGCACATACACCCACACAAGCTCTTTCAAATGCTTATGTAGGAATTCATCCTGGGATAAACTTAATTAGCATTTAAATCGGTGATTGGGGCAGTAGTAGCTAATTGAAAGAATAAGTATTTTATCCATTCTAATACACCTGAACTAACTTCATAAAGAAGAGAACAGTTGCTTACGAAATATTTAACCAAGGAAATCATATTAAGTGCATGTGAAATGTGGAGAATTCAAATATTGCAACATAACTGTAGCTTGAGAATATGTCTCCAACCTTGAAGGTTATGTGTATCTGTAGATCCATTAGTTTTCCTAATAATGAGGTATAATGGCATGTTTCATAATTCTGTATTTTAGTTGTCCTGTAAAGTATATGTATTTTTGTGTGTGTGTTTTTTAAGGAATATTCATGGGAAATCTTGACTCCCAGGATTGCTCAGTTGCTGAATGCAGGTTTTCCTGCTGACTGTACAGAAGACTTCATATTCTGAAAAAGCAGTGATCAGTACTGTTGGTGCAGTAATTATTCCATTTCCATTAACTCTGTGGAAGCAATGAATTAATAAGGGCCACAGGGCCAAGGGTTAGGTCAAACTGAAGCAGGTCTGAGAAGCCTTGTCATGACCTGTTTTTAATTTTAAAGCCTACTGCTGGCTGCTAAAACAACCTTGAGTGCTATGCACGTTCTTAGCAAAATGGAGCACGGCATGGTATGAAGCTGCTAAGTAATTGCTAGTTGTCTGATCAGCTCTTTGGCTACTGCAGTAATGTGAGTTTCAGAGTATCCTATTTTTTGAGATGTCAGTAGTGTTCTGCAAATATGCTTAAACTTGTCTTTTTGAGACTGTTTTTCTGTTTAAAAAAAAAAAAAAGGAAAAAAGGCAACAGGCTTAGTGTGCTAATAACAAAAGATTGTCTG